ATGTATGTATATACAAGATAGTTAACATGGCTGTTCTACTGTCTTCTATTTCTTTGCTGAAGGAAACAGTTAATGAGTCCTTGATTGATCAATATTGCATGTCTCTATCTGTTTTCATGAGAAACCACTTTGAAGATATCAGTATGTAATACAACATATTAACAGCATTGTTAATTTCCTACCACTTTGTTTGTAACTCTGTATTGTTTGTATTATTCTTTTGCTATTTTGTAAAAGATTGTCTGTCTGTTAATGTTTTCCTCCTTTTATTTAAAAAAAAAAAAAAAGTGAAAAAAAGAAAATAAATCGGGATCTCCTGGAGGTGGTGCTATTGGTTCATCCTGAGCTTGTACCTCCAGGTACCTACTGTGGTGGAGCTCAGTGTGGGAGGCCAGGTCTTCACCACCACCACGGACACCCTGAGGAAACTCTCTAGCTCCACTGGCAGAAATGTTCTCCCGCTCAGCCATGGCCTGCAAGGATGCTGAAGGTCACTTCTTCACTGACACCCCCACACTTATTTCTATCCCATCCTGGACTACCTGAACAGTGGGCTGATGTCCATGTAGCACATCTGTGCGGTGCACTGTGAGGCTCAGTCCTACGACATCCATCCGGCCTTTGGTCAAGCTCTTGGAGGAGATGCTTAGATGTTTGGTGAGCAGGTGTTCCGGAAGTAGTTTTGGCCGCAAGTGCCTAACTACAGTGAGAACCTAGGGCTCCTGCTGTGCCTGGCCCAGAGCGAGGCTGTGCGTAGGCGTGAATAGAAGGTGGTGGTATATGCTGTGTAGTGAGGGGCAGGCTGCACGGTGTGCAGAGCTTGTGTGTTTTCTGGAGTCACAAAAGATGTCAGTTGTCAAGTTTGGGCCCTGTAACTCAGGTTATGACAAATATGACCTTCTGTGGTGCCTGGAGATGGATTAAGTCACAGGGGTACTGGGTATCCTATTGGGAGTACCAATTTGATAAAGCAGTCAAGGCCAAGTTGGAGAATTGCTTTTAAACAGTCACCTTTATGTGGTGGTGAGCCCCATGGGCTGGGACTGTTTGTTACAGGATCTTGTGGGGCTCGTGAAATTAAAAAGTGCCAAAAACAAAAAGCCATGTTCCTTTTATTTCAGAAACAAAAATCAACTTCCAAGGTTGGCCTCTAGCTTTGCCCTCAAATATGTGTCCCCATTCTGCGCTGTGACTCTCCACTTATTGCAAAGGACTAAACTGTACTTGCAGGCTGCTCCCAACTGCTGTCTCTTCAAAGCCTCGTGTACTTGCCATCCCCTTCTCTTGAGGCCCAAGTGTGTGGCTAAGATAAATTAGTTTTCAACACTGATTTGGCAATGGATGCAGAAGACCACTGGAGGATACAGAATATGTTTCTGTGACTCTAGATCATCTCCCGTAGAACTGTAGTCTTCCTAGCCTCCCAGCTGCTCATCATCCCTCCATGCCAGTGTGTGCCCTCCTGGGTCAGATGCCAAGTTAGTACCTGTGCTTCCCACAGCCCCTTGCACAGAAACTGTGGAGGCCCCAGAGCTGTCTTCTACTGGAGCAGTGTTTGTCCAAGTCCAGCATCCTCAGTATCCTCTGGACACTTGTTAGTAATACATGGCGTTTGATTTTTGCTGTGCTGAGGATGAACCCAGAGCTTCACATTGAGCTACATTCTCAGTCCTTTACAGTTTTTATATTGAGACAGTGTCTTGCTAAGTTTCCCAGGCTGGGCTAGAAACTGTGATCCTTTTGGCCTCAGGCCTCCTGAGAGGTTGGGTCACATCTAGCTTTGTTTTATTTTAATTAATTTATTTATTGTCACACTGGAGATCGTACCCAGTGTCTTCATACTGAACTGTATCCCCAATCCCCCAACTCTATTTAAAAAAATTTTTTTTGCCTGGCCTAGTGGCACATACCTATAATCCCAGCACTCGAGAAGCTGAGGCAGGATGATTGCTATGAGTTTGAGGCCAGTCTTGGCTGCATAGTGAGTACAAGGGCAGCCTGAACTATATAGTGAGATGTCTCAATAAGCCAAAAAAAATTAATAATAATAAATATTTTTTTTGGAGACAGAGTCTTAGTAAATTGCCCAGGTTGGACAAGTTAGTGACTCACAAGAGCCTTTCTCAAAAAATGAAACAATGATTAAGGATGTAGCTCAATGCAAAGGGCCTAGGGTCAAACCCTAGTATCTACGGGGTTGGGGAGTCCATTGCAGTTCTGCTTCTCAACCTAAGATAATACTAACCTTTACGGAGGATACTTGCAGACATTATCCTTCTTCAAGTCCAGGTCTGAGACAGATGTTCCCATTTCCTGCCTTGTAGCCTGGCCAACTGTTTGTGTTAATTGAGACTAAAGGGTTTCCTGGGAACCAAGATTCCACTACCAAAACTCCAGCTGTCCCAGGCAAACTGAGCTGGTTCTATCACCCTTCTGCTTCTCCCTCCCCCTGCAATTCACCCTTACTTTGTTTCTTTTTTATTTGGGATCCATCTTCTGTGGTAACATGTCCAGGAATAACCTCTCAACCTGAAGAGACCAAAGATAGCCTGAGAAATCTTGCTTTCCACTCTCAGGGGATAATATTTGTATACATTCCTTTCATAAAACCATTTGAGCCAGTATAATAGTACACACCTGTAATTCCAAGCTACTTAGCAAGCTGGGGCAGGAGGACTGCAAGTTTGAAGCTGGCATGGATTATTTAGACTGTGTCTCAAAAATTTAAAAAAGGGCTGAGCATGTATGTAGTTCAGGGTTCAATCCCCAATATTGTTGGAAAGAAAAAAAATGAACTTCTTCCTTTATGATACCTACTGCAGTATCTCTGCAGTATATCTGGATAAAGCAAGGATGCATAGCCTCTGTCTGGCTTAAAGCCTGGCTTCTAGTGTATACCTACACTTTTCTACACTGTAGGTTCAGGATGGGCCCCTGGAGAGGGTTAAAAGACTTGGGCTTTTTTTTAGAAGGTAGAGAATGCAGGCTTTGTGGGGCTATGAGCAACAAGCAGTTTTCAAGCAGCTTTGTGGTTTAGAGCTGACAGTCTGTTGTTTTGACAACCGCTCTGTGCAGGCAACACTGTCCCTCCTAGTGCAGGTTGCCATGCCTACCTACATCCCCGAAAGCCCACAGGACTAGACCTCTGGCAGCGAGCCCAGTATCCAGTCAACCAAGTGTTGACCCTCAAGGGGGTAAGGACAAAACCCCTACCCCATAAAACGTCCTGTTTCCCATCCTACGGCAATAGGACGATCATGTGTAGGGGGTAGGGGCAGTTAGAAGGGGAGATAGGCAGGGATGTAGGGCATAAAGTGGCTGACATAGCATGGCTGACATGCCAGACGGTTGTACAAATGACCATCCACTTGCTAGAAGAGATTGCCGTTTGGGAAACTTCTGCCATAATGTGTGGTGTGGCACAGATATTCTGCCATAATGTGTGGTGTGGCCAGCTTGCAGGCCATAATCTTTAGCTCACCCCAGCAGCCACTGGCTCTAGCAACAAAGGCTAAGACTCTGATTGGCTTAGAACCCCTGTAAGAATGCGCACAGCGAAGGACCCCCTCCCAGGAAGCTCAATTTGAGTTTCTTCCTACTGTACCGCTTGTCCATCAGCAGCTTTTTCTCCACCTTCGTCATATGAGTAATCCTGTCTGTGTTTCACACTACTTTATTTCTGAGTTCCTCACTCTGTGCCCTGGATGACCTGAATCCTTCTTCTCTGCTCAGGTTATATTCAGCTTTGAGTCAGACTTGACCTGACCCCATGCCTTCCTCCCAAGAGTGATGGCATGGACCATAGGCATGGGGGTCATACCATGAGAGACCCCTAGGACTCCAGACCCCCAGGTCTCCAGATTTCCACCTGAAACTACAATATCTGATAACATCTGCAGAAGGCTGAGCAGTTATCTCTAAAGGTTTTTTTTCTTTTTCTTTTTCTTTTTTTTGGTCTTTTTGAGACAGGGTCTCCCTGTGCAGCCCAGGCTGGCCTTGAACTCACTTTGTAGCCCAGGCTGGCTACAAACTCCCAGCGATCCTCCTGCCTCAGCCTCCCGAGTGCTGGGATTACAGGTGTGCGCCCCCACACCCTGCTCTCTAATGCTTCTCAGCTGCTTTTTGTTAGCATATATTTGGAATATATCCTGACCACCTTCTTTGTGGTGAGTCACCTCCCATCCTCTTCTTTTCTGCACAGAAGTGAAATAAATCAGCCACGGAGGTTAAATACTGTATGGTTTCTCTTACAGAAGAAACCCCAAGTTGAAATAATTTACTGGAAGTTTAAAAAAATAAATAATTTCCTGGACAAAATAAAAGATGATAAGAAACAGGGAGAGAGACTGTGTGGAGACGGGAAGAGGCTCTCTAATGCTTGTTTTTCTGTTGTTGTTTTTGAGGTGGGTCTTACTATGTAGTTCAAGCTGGCCTTGAACTCATGGAGATCCTCCTGCCTCAGGCTCCCAAATGCTGCGATTATGGGTGTGTGCCACCACATCCAGCTAACTTTTTTTTTTTTTTTAGATAAGGTCTATAAATTGCCCAGGCTGGGCTTGAACTTTTGATCTTCCTGTCACAGCATCCCCCAGTTGCACAGGTGTGCAACCCTACACCCAACAAAATAATTTTAAAGCATCTTCAGATGATTCCAGTAGTTCAAGCTGCAAATCATTGTTGTAGAGTCTTATTAATTTCAGGCCAATTACACTAAAGAGATTTACCCCAGTCCAGGGGTTATCTTTTCATTAATCATCAGAATATTTTAATTCTAGGGTTATAAATTAACATATGGTACAGATTAGGGCTGGGACTTGGCATCCCAGCTTACCTTGATGCAGGTACACATGATTCCGTGAAGTTTAATAATCTCAGATGGGGCTCCCAAGAGGACTTCATCTACTTATGAGTAGAGGTGTTCATGTTAATTCCCCAATGAACTTCAATGTCTTGGAAAGTTTTCAAGTATGCAGAAAAGGTAAAATAACAATGCAATGGACCAGGTATGGTGGTAATCCAAGCACTTTAGGAGGTCAAGGTAGGCAGACTGCATGTTTGAACACAGCTTGGACAATTTAACAACTTAGCAAGACCCTGTTATTCCACTGGACAGGTTGTGGGAAGGGCAGTTGAGGAACACATCATGGACCAGGTGATTCAGCTGAATTATTGGCCCAAGACTACACGGGTGAGTCCAACCCAAATTGCAGAATCATGAGTAAAAATGGTGTTTTAAATGTCTGTATAGCTGGGTGTGGAGGTGCATGCCTGTAATCCCAGCACTTGGGAGGCTGAGGCAGGAGGATTGTTGCGAGTTTGAGGCCAGCCTGGGCTACAAAGTGAGCTCCAGCCAGCCTGAACTGCACAGCAAGACCTTGTCTCAAGAAGACAAAATAAATAAGTAAAAATAAACATCTGTGTTTGGAGTAGTTGGTTATTCAGTAATAGCTAATACACTTCCTTTTTAAAGAGACTTTGCCACAAGTCCCACCAAATAACATCTGTTTACATTTTGGTGGCTAAAACTGTGATATATGGCCATATTGTGGGCAGTCTCCAAGAGAGACTGGAAAATGCAGGTGCTTTTGTGTGTGTGTGTGTGTGTGTGTGTGTGTGCACAATAGCATTTCCAACATTGAGACTCTGTCTCAAAATGAAAATTAAAAGGACTGGGGATATAGCTCAGTGAGAGAGTGCTACTAGGTTCAATCCCCAGTGGGAAAAAATTGACCACATATGTCTTGGATACTTCTTTCTCCTTGCTGAGACAAAATACCCAATGCCCAAAATTAAGGAGGCAAAGGTTTATTTAGCTCTGAGTTTGTGGAGATTTCAGTCCATAATCAGCTGGCTTCAAGGCAGTGTGGCATGGCAGAAGCAACAGTTCAAGGCAGCAGAAAACAGCAAAAGCAGCAAGAGCCGAA